GCGCGACCCCGACGCGCCGCACGCGGGAGACCCGAGCCGAGGGGGCGCGCGGCCCGGTTACCGCTCCTCTCAGGCGCTGTCCCTTGGCGCCGGGTTCGCGCGCCTGAGTTACGAGAGACGGGGAATTACGGAGGGGTTGAAGGAGCCGGTCAGGGGCCAAACGGGAAGGAACGGCGGGATGACCGGAGCGCGTACTCGAGTCCGCGTGCGGGAAAGGCGACCTAAAGCGGCCCGGCTAGGAGTGGGCGCCAGCGTGCCCCTAAGTGAAGAGCCGAGCGGGAACTGACGAAAAGAGCCGAAACTTTCCGGAGGTGGCCGAAGATTCCCAATGAAAACCTAGAGCTTTTTGCTCTAGGTCTACAGGCGCGTCCATCTTCTCTAGCCGGGACCAATCCAGCCGCTCACTCCCTTTAACTTTGCTTCGGGACCCACCTTCTGCTCCTAAAGGTTTTTTTCAGAGCCACTGGGCCACCCAGCCTGGTGGGAGAGGTTCAGGAGAGAGGATGTGCGGGCGAACGAGCTCACACTTTCTGCTTCCCTCTACGTGGCTGTGGTTAGGAACGCCTGTTGTCGAATCTTTCTGTTAAATACCTATCTTCGTAATCAGTGCTCGAAATCTCCAGCCTCTCCAGGACCAGGTCATCTCTAGTATTGATGTATCTTTTGAGTTAATGTCTTACCGGTTGGCTGGTCAGGAGAGAGAGGTTAGGAAGGGCGTGTTCAACTCACATTCAAGCCAAGGAACTTACTTTAAACATGAGACTTGTTTTGGCGATTATTTTTAAGATCTGAATAGTGAACTTTGTGGAAGACAATCTTGTCACGATATCAAAAAGTTGACTACGCCTGGTAGAGGCTGAGATTTAGACTAAATCACCACTGAAAATACTAATCACAATCTACTCATCTTCTCGTTCACTTCCTTTGAACTCAAGCAAAGAGGCTTTGAACAGACAGAACCACCTCACTGCGTGGTTTTAGTTGGGCGCTACAGGCAGAGTACAGTTTTTCCACACACTTCTCACTAATGTCCTAGATCATATAACTGACCGTGGTACAGTATGTGTCTGCCACGTCATATATCTTCATCGGATCCTTGTTCTTTTTGCTTTGCAGTGTTTTTAGTTTTGTTTATTGTGACAAGATCTGGCCACGTAGCTCTCTGCTGGCCTCCAACTCTGTGTGTGTGTGATTAGGTGATTAGTCAATCCCTGCAGCCCACCTGACAAAACCCAAACCAGGAGTACAGGCTTACACTTGTAGTCTCACCATTAGGGGGATTATCGGGGGATGGAGCTGGGAAGAATTCCTGAGGCCTACCAGCCAGCCAACCAGCCTACTTTGCACATTCTTGGCCAGTTTTTGTCTCAAAAAGCAAAAACTGAGCCAGGTGTAGCAACCTCACCCTTAATCCCAGCACTCAAGAAGAAACAGGTGGATCCCCGTGGCTTGGAGCCTAAGCTACAAAGTGAGTTCCAGGCTGCAAAGCTACATAGTGATATCCTGTCTTGAATAAGTAAGTAAGAAAATAAATAAATAAATAGATTTTTGGCCTACAGAGAGAGAGAGAGAGAGAGAGAGAGAGAGAGAGAGAGAGAGAGAGACTGACTAGATCATGTGCCTACTTAAGATATTAAATCAAACGTCAGCTGATTAATGAAACTATATACAAATATAAAATAGAAGCAAACCATTCAAATACTTGTTCTCTTTTCTCTCACCTAACCGATGTAAGAACCCAACAGATGGCGGTCATGATCTAGGCATCACTGAAAACAAATAACACCACCACCCCTGGATAAGAGTATCCAGTTATAATGGAAGAGAGTGCCACTAAATAAGTATAATGATACAATGTCTTGAATTAGAGTGCAGAACAATATAGGGACACAAAGAACAGTGACTAGTTTTCTACATTTTCATTGCTACTCATAGAGAAGGAACAGAAAGACATAGCCCTTATCAGTAAGGCTTCTGTTCCTTGTCCACTGACTTCACCATCTAAAGCCGTTCAGAAAATGCATGAAGCTGTTACTGCTGCAAAACAAACACAGGTTCATTAGAGGCCATAGAGTCCCCATTCTTTGAAACTAATCTGCTGGGATTGTGGAGATAGCTCAGTAGGTAAGAGTGCTTATACTTTGTAAGCATGAAGACCTGGGTTCAAATCCCCGGGTTCAAATCCCCAGCTCCCACATAAAAAGCCAGGAATAGCAGAACACGCCTATAGCCCCAAAATTGAGAGTAGAGGAACATCTGAGGTTTTCCTCTGGCCTCCACATGTGTGGAATTCGCGCGCACGCGCGCGCGTGCACACACACACACACATTCACAAATCACTATAATACTGTATTTAGTACGTCTTCATAGATCCTTGGGTAACAGGAGAAAAGTCTCCTCGCAAAATTTCCTTTTTAAAACTCTGTCCTCCAGGGGCTGGAGAGATGGCTCAGTGGTTAAGAGCACTGGCTCCTCTTCCAGAGGTCCTGAGTTCAATTCCCAGCAACCACGTGGTGACTCACAACCATCTGTAATGGGATCCAATGCCCTCTTCCCACTTCTGCCGTGCAGGTGTACATGCAGATGCAGCACCCATACACTTTTAAAAACAAAAAAATTTAAACAGTGGGGGAGGGCTGGAGAGATGTCTCAGAGGTTAAGAGCACTGACTGCTCTTCCAAAGGTCCTACCTGAGTTCAATAACCAGTAACCACATGGGAGATCACAACCATCTGTAATGAGATCTGGTGCCCTCTTCTGGCTTGGGGGCACATACGCAGGCACAACACTGTATACATAATAAATTTTAAAAATAAAAGAATACATAAAAAATAAATTAATTAAAAAGTATCCTCCAGCCGGGCGGTGGTGGCGCACGCCTTTAATCCCAGCACTTGGGAGGCAGAGGCAGGCGGATTTCTGAGTTCGAGGCCAGCCTGGTCTACAGAGTGAGTTCCAGGACTTCTAGGGCTACACAGAGAAACCCTGTCTCTCAAAAAAAAAAAAAAAAAAAAAAAAAAAAAAGTATTCTCCAATGAGTTAGGGTTACCTAAAATATATGTCTTGCTGAGCAGGGCCAATGAGGGACACTGCAATTCATGACTTAGCTCTACTTTTGCCTGACAGTCCTGGTGTCCTGGTGTCCCTAGAGGGACATTCAATACATGTTTCAAAACTGTTAGGGTTAAAATTAATTGGGGGAGGGGCTGGAACGGTGGGTCAGTGGTTAAGTACACTTGCTGCTCTTGTGGAGTACCCTGCTTCAGATCCCAGTACCCCTATGGTAACTCACAACCACTCTTCATGCAGATTTCAGGGGACTCAAAGCCTTCTTCTGACTTCTTCTGCAGGCAACAGGCATGTGGTGCAGATGAAACGTTAATAAACACACACACACAAAGTAAATCTAAATTTTAAAAACAAGTATCAATTTTGTCATTGTTCTTTATACTACATACACACACATTTCCATTGTGTGTTTTACTTCAAAATAAAAGTGACCATTATGGGCCATGAGATAACTACAAAGTGGTTACAATCTATCTATAAATTAAAGAAAAATTGATGTAACATAGACTCGTTACCCACTCTGAAGAAAATACTAACCAAGTTTCTGAGGTTATTAGAGTAACATTAAAGATTGAAAAGGAGAGAGAGAGATGGCTCAGTGATTAAAAGCAGATATTGCTCTTTCAAGGGACTCAAGTTTGAGCCCAGCTCCCGTTTGGGGTCATTTACAACCACCTGTAACTCAAGCTCCTGGGAATTCAACACCTCTGGCCTCTGTAGACATCACACTTATGTATACACACACACACACACACACACACACACACACACACACAATACAGACATGATTGAAAGTAAGGCAAATCTCTTTTTAAAATATTGTGAAAGAAAAAAATCGTCTTAAAAAAAATAACATCCAGGGTCTGGAGAGATGGCTCAGTGGTAAAGAGCACTGGCTGCTCCTCCAGGGGACCCTGGTTCAATTCCCAGCACCCACAGGGCAGCTCACACCTGTCTGTAACTCCAGTTTTAGGGCTTCTGACACCCTCATACAGATATACATGCAGGCAAAAGGCCAATGCACATAAAATAAAAATAAATCATAAAAAAATAACATCTAGCAGGGTGTGACAGTGCACACTTTTAATCCTAGCACTTGGGAGGCAGAGGTAGGTGGATATGAGTTTGAGGCCAGCCTGGTCTACAGAGTGAGTTCCAATCCAGCCAAGGTTACCCTGTCTCAAAACACAAAAACAAAGATAAAGCTAATATCCAAGGTCTCAGGCTATAGCTCAGTGGGGGAACACTTGCCAAATATAAAGCAGAAGGATCGAGAGT